CCCCCCGCCCCCCCCCTCGAAAAACGCTCAAGCGCGACCCCCCTACCTCTTCCGCCTCTTCCACCCTTGGAGGGACAGCCCTCGCGGCCGCCTTTATCAGGCACGTGTACGTCACCGCATCCGGCTGGAGACATCCCCCTTCCCCGTCGTCCACCATCAGGCGAACCACCCCTTGGGCGCGGTCGAACTCGCCGAGGTCCTGCAAATGTCACCACAAAACATCCGTCAGGGTTTCTGTTCCAAGGAAGAACTCCGCCGTGCGCAACAGCATGGATGCTGGAATGATTCGTCTTCGCCTGGTTTCGACCACTGCAATTGGGAATGAAATGCCAACACGGGGGGCAAGCGATCATGTTCAAGGTGCGATCTTCCAAAAAACGAAAAAAAAAAAGGAATAGTCGGGCATTCACCTGTCAACGACCGGCCAACGTCGGCAGGCTAGCTAGAAAAGCGCACGTCCGAATCCAAATTGGTCGGTTGTGCGTTGCAAGGCAGTGGGGGCAGTGGGTGGGGCCGGGGGGGGATACGCACCTTACAAGTGATAGATGACCTGCCTTGAGATGAAAATTGTGCCATCTGTCGTGCACGACCTGCCACCATTAACGAAGTACTGTCGTACGACTAGCCAAACAAGGTCTAGAAACATAGCCGGAAGGTGTTGTAGTCCGCTGATGAACGAGAGACAACGTACCGCACACGTGTTGACCAACGCGTTGTATGCGCGCAAGTCGGGCCGTACCCCCCTGCTCCGCATCTCCTGGAACACGAGGAACACCCGGAAAAGGTTGTCCAGGGCAGGGTTGGCATTGTCCGAGGACGTCGACGACGGTGCTCGTGACAACTTGGTTGGATCGGCGGTGGGGCTGCGGAGAGAAGCTTCGGACCGACCGCTGGATGGGTAACCCCCCACCCCTCCTTCTTTTGTCGCCGGTCCTGCGGTGCCTCTTCCGGAAGATGAAGAACTCCACGCGGCGATGACCGAATGTTCCTCTTTCGCGTGGGCCCGGGTCGCCGCCGCAGCCGGTCCTTTCCCGCCCCCGGCGACCACCTTGGTCGTTACCGCCGCATCGGCCCGAACGTCCAACGACTTTCCACGACCGTCCACTCCACCTCGCGGTACGCTTGAGGCACCGCCACTAGTCGTGCCTGGCGCTGTCGATGGAAGTGGCGAGCTTTGGGCGGGGGCACCGGGAGCGGTGGCGGCAGCGGCTTCGGAAGAGTCCTCGGCGGGTTTACGCACCGCGGAAGAAGAGGGCGGCGACCTACGCGTCTCCAGCATTCTCGTGCGCTGCAGGGCGCGGGTGCGAAGGGTGTTTTCTTCGGAGATCGCCTGGGATGAGAGTGGCCCGGCGCCGGAGAAGAGGGGGGTGGGTCGTGTGCGCGTTGAGGGGGGGTCACTTGGTTCTCGGTGGACTAAATTGCTGTGTTTTGTGGAATATCGGGTTGGTTCGTCCATTCAAGCCGTTCTGTGCAGTGGCCATTCACTCGCCGGCAGTGAATTGCGGTAGGGGCATAGCAACAGGGTAGATATCGAGCAAGAGATTCAACATCACGAGGAAAACACGAGGAACAAGTAGGTTGCACGGACTAACCACAGATGCAACGGCAGCCGCACACCCAATACCACCACCGCCTCAATCAGCAGCAGTAAAATCCCAGCCCTAGCTGGGCAGTGCACCTTCAGTAAGGACGTGTAGCTCCGCACGCCCGGGCGCACTCCCTCCGTCTCCATGGCCTCGAACACCTCTACCGCCGCCTTACTGTCCCGGCTGTGCCGACACACTTCCATCAGAGCCAAGTACGTCCCCTCCGTCGGCTTCACGCCTTGTCGTGCCAAACCACCAACCCGCGTGGGGATGCGGGGCAGGAGGAGACGGTAGGGGCGAGGGCACGGGGGGGGGTACACATTTTGTGCGGCCTTAGTTATTAGACCATTGGCCATGCGCCCTCGAGAGCGGTCTAGAACGTAGAAATCTTGATCTTTGGTTTCAGCTTGCTGCTTCCCAGAAATTGGCGGGCGAGCGAGCCGTTGTGTGGGCAGGGCACGGGGATTTACTCATCGTATCATGGGGGTGAGTAAAGCTCAATAAGGTGCCAACGTAGGGTACCTCCCTCCTCGCAACTTCACACGCAGCGTTGTACGAAAGGGCTGCCCTCTGCGAGAGGTCGGTGCACCGATTTTCAAGCGATTATAAAGCACAGTCATGATCGTCCAGGAAAGAAACTGGGTGAGAGGTTCTCGGGGTGTAGGGAGAGGGGAGACAATTCATGCGGGGAGATTGATGGATCAAACAGCCGCTACTGTTGTAGACGGATGGGGCAAGCTCCACAATACTGGTGGCAACGCTGTCTGATCAACATACCTGTCTCCCTCATGCTCTGCACAATCCGAAAGGCCCGGGCTAGCTTCTTGGCGCGGCCGCATGCTCCTAGGAGCGCCGAGTAGGTAAGCTCGTTAATCTAGGCGGCAGGAGCATGGATAGAGGCAATAACGGCCAGACGGAATTCAGCAAGGCGAGACGGAGATTGATAAACCCATGTCCAGCACAAAACCAAGAGCGCCGAGCAAACGAGTACACACAATTGCTAATGGACCACGACCGTGGGAGGGGGGAAATGAGACGAAATCCGCCAGAGTAAAGGGCGAGACGGGCATGACTCGCTCCGTGTCCACCAATATATACCAGGTCTTACGTATGGGAGGTTTGCGACACGTAAAATACCGCGTGTGTTTTCCATTAGCGCTGGCTACCACTGTGGGACAAGACAACTCCATCGCGACACCCTCCGAGGGTAAACGGCACCCTGTGTCTACCAATACTCCCAACAAGTTATCGTTGTTGCTGCTGCTGCTGCTGCTGCTGCTGCGGGCACGCACCTCCGAGCCGTGGCCCTCCGCCCTGGCGCGTTCCATGAGCTCCACGGCCTTGTCTAGGGCTCCGGCGGTGTCGACGGCGTTGAGCAGCAGCAGCCAAGTTTCACCGTCCGGAGAGTCTCGCCTCTCCACCATCCCTTCCAGCACCTGCACAGTTCATGTAGGTAGTAAATCAACAGGGGTGGGGGGGTGGGGGAGGGGGTGTACTCATAGTCGTGCATGCCGTAGTCGTTAGCCCGTTGGCCTCGCATCCCTACAAGCCGGGACGGAGCACGCCGGGTTCTCATAGGACCAGGCTCTCACATCACCAAGCGCCAAGCGCCGTGAGATATTCGGCGAGTCGCATGAAGGGTGCGCTGCATCCTGCTAAGGGTGTGCGGCATCTGGTGCGTAGTCCCTTGCGTACGGATGACAGCTGCGAATGACTCAGTTTATTTTCTGGTGCTTTCACTTCCAGAGACAGTTCAAAGCACTGTAATTGCCTCGAGGGTGCTTGGCCATTTTAACACAATGTGGTGCGATCATCCCCCTTGCGCGAAGTGAGGGTTCTCGACCCCGCACATGATCTACTCAACCATCATTATGGTTAC